TAGGTTCGTACTCTGCCGAAGAGCACATTCTCGTCACCAGTTTTTCAGGCCGAGAGAAGTAATAAACACTGTTTAAAATAACGTCGCGTCTATTTCGAATGCGAATAACCACTCGATACAGCGTTTGAAGTCATAAAAATGTTGGAATAAAAATAAATCTATATACAGTTGAATGTTGGTTCACAAATTTAATTCGTTCCTGAAGGCCTTTCGTAACCCGAAATGTTCGTAAACCGAAACTATTTTTTCCAATAGGAATCAATGTAAAGAAAAAAATTCACAGTAGAAAAAAAATCTTCGACTCCTGTTGGCAACGTAGCGTATTGTCCTAACAACAATCATCCTACAATGTGCCGTTTTTGCTGTGCTGCAGTAAAAGAAAAACAGATTCTCATACAGAAATCGGATCATTGTAGAAAGACGTGTTAAGATCTGGCGTGACACGGAAAAAGCTTGGAGGAATTTGACGGATGAACCTATTGATCAATCTGTTTCAATTCGCTTGAAATCTTCGATAGCATCACGTACAAGAAAAAAGAAAGCTGGTGTCAAAGTCACGAAGGTATTAACTGGGTTTGTTATTCGCATAAGCCTGCAATTTTTCTTTTCTTTTACTAGAATTTAATCTACGCTCTAAACATTTGTGGTTTGTTTGTGTTACTTCGATAAAAATGTGTGATTGATTTTCGAAATCAATATCTCCTAAATATTTTTCACGAAACCTCTGCAAAGTTAAAAATGATTTACATACAGCATCTGATGAGATTTGCGCATACAAACTTAGATTTCAGATCCTAATTTTCAAAACAGAAACGTTCATCAATACTCCCAGAAGAGTGAAGCAATTAAATCTTCGTCAGCCCATAGTGATCTAGACCTGTGCCTAAGTAATGCCTTCAAAAATATACAGTTTTTGTATTGCTTTCCAAGGTAACGTGACTTATCAACATTCTTAAAGTGTCCAATGGTTCTGTCATACATTTATAGACAAACTCGTTCTATAAGTTATTCGCTATTTTCCTGTCTCTCTTACATTCTGTATGTCAAATTCTCCAAGCCAGCTTTCCTCCTAGAAATTTTCAACCGATTCCTTCTGATCATACTTATTATAAAACCCAGGTTGTGTGTGTGTGTGTGTGTGTGTGTGTGTGTGTGTCTGTTCGTTTATATATTGGATAGGTTTTCCTACATTTTTCAACCGATTTCAACAAAACTTCACTTTTTTTGGCAGGTAGTGTTTCTTATTGTCTTGCACACTTTTTTCTTAATTTTTACATTCAGAATGCTTTAAAAATTTCCATTTACAAGACAATTGTTTGTAATAAAAATCTTTTCAATCAGTAGAGACTCATAACGATTGAAAACAATGTTTTTGTTTGAGTTTGGCTTTGACCAATTCGTAAAAAACTAAACAAAAAAAAAAAAAAAAAATTAAGACATGCGTGTCCGTCAACGTTAAACAATAATCTTTGTCAATTTTATTTTTCAGTCTTTATCATGGTCGATACTTGATCTATCTCTTACTGTTACATCCCCAGGCAACGCCGGGCTCTACTGCTAGTTCTAAATAAAAGAGTCATTTTTGTTTTCATTTTCCGTAAAGATTCGTCGTTTACTCAGATATTCAGTTCATGGTATTTTCAGCATCCTTCTGTAGAACAACATTTTTGTTACGTTGTTGTAGCATATCTACGGTCGATAATAGGTGTGCCCCCATTCGCATAAATACAGTAGTAAATGCTGTATGTTGGTGTGCCGTCGGAGATTCGTCTCCAGCTGTGCTGGTCAAACTTTCTGCCTCCAGGAAGAGAGGATCCCCAGACGAGGCTATGTCGAAGGGCAAAGTCTTGTCTCGGGAAACAGCTACCGACCCCGTTTTATACAGGGTCTACAGGGAAATATTAAATTCGGTTTTGTGCCACATCTGACCGCGTGGAGCGGTTGGTAGATATCCTGGAGTTAGAGATTCATTGTGGAATTCACCTGACTCACCTCTAGCAGTTGACTACTACTTCTACGCGCCGCTGGCGAATCTTATATGTGTTGTTCTTGTTCTAAGTATCATCGTTCATTATCAAACTTCGTTAGAGTATTCTATTCAGTAACATTACCTAGATTAGAGCATACGCCAAATTTCGTCTTCATCTGGCTTAGAGACACATCACGATGAAACCCTGGTTCGCGTAGGATCATGGAGGTTAAGCAAAATCGATCTTGGTCAGGACCTTGATGGGTTACATCTTGTGCATACTAGGGGCTTTGAGCTTGGATGTACGGAAGGTGTAATGGATTAAGGCTCGGAATTGTTAATCGGATAATCAAGTTACAATTCCCGTCGGGTTCATTATATTCATTTACGCATAAATACCCTTGGAACAGATATCAATCCACCTTATCTCTCCCAGCCATGGGTTAATTAGTAAAAATTGTACGCTTAAACAATTATTATCTAAAAAAATATTACATTCTAAAAATATTTTCTGTCTTTAAATAACCCGCAAAAGGTTGATTAACCGTAAAAAATGAATCAGTCAATCAATCTTTTTCGTCTGTGTTGAGATTGTCCAGCAATTTTTGTTATATAGGAGACCCGACGTTACCTAATAATTCAGTATGTTTTTGTTTTTTTCTTTAACGAAATATTCCCGTTCATTAATACTTTGGAAGGCGTCTTTTGCAATTCCAATGCACTCTTCGGATTTCGGTATCACGTTTTCCTTTGTCTGTTAAACACGCCTTACAGCGTTAAAATTCTGCACTTGCTTGAGTTTGATATATCCAATTCACAGCTCGCATCTTGGGCTGCCTCTCTTGCTAACAACCAGACAATCTGTCTTCTTACAAGTGATCGTTCTTTCGTCCTGTTTTACTTTACAATGTAAATGGCTAAATAGGGGTGTAAGCCGAGATAGAAAAGTAGACGCCATACTTACCTTGAAAATCAGTACCTGAAATGCTAGTAACGGGGTGGAGGTGACATTAATATTTAGGTCATTTGACAATACTTGCTAATTTAAGTCTGGTAAAGGTGAGAGAAATAGGGGCTTCCAGTTCAGGAAACTATAAGACGAACGTGTGTATGTTTCAGATTTTTGTTTATTGCTTTTTGTTCCTGTCTGTATCGCTGAGATGAGGATTTATGACTACTTATATTATTTACATTATTCGGACTATGTCCTCAAGGACACATGGTCAAGTGGCTAGACCCAAAGGGCTGTGAGTTCAATTCCAGGCTACAGCAGCTGTGAACCAAAAACTTGGAGAGTTGAATTAAAGGGAAATAACTATGACATAGAACAATCTATCCCGGTGGACAAAATAAAGGGTTCGGTTCGAAATTCCAATCACCTGAAGAATGCCGGAGCGTACAACGGTCGAAACGTTGTGAATATGGCAATGGAGATGAGGATAACAGTCCAAATAATGTATATATATATATATATATATATATATATATATATATATTGTAAGATGCCATAGCATCTGATGATGGGAAAGGATTCAGGGAAAAGCAGACTCATGACATTCTCAAAAGAAATAGGTTGATATACTTAAGTCTTCTTAGTTCTTTTGGCAGAAATACCACTTAAAAAAGGTGTAAATCCGCGTCTTGAGCTGTATCCTACAGTCAGATATACCATATCCCTTCAGAATTACTCTCCACTACTTCCTATCGTTTGTAGCCCTTAGTAAGGTTTTTCACTCCATTATCCCCCCCCATAACCCCTGTTTTGACATCCATTCACGCAAACTTGTTAAGTAGGTTACTTGCTCTTTTCCTTTGTCTCAATTTCGCCTTCAATACGTCTTGTGAGTGTTAAATTTTCCAAGCCTTCTTTTCTCATTTTGTATCCCAGAATTTTCAACTGTCTCTTTCTGCTTCTAAATATAAGCGTCCTTGACAAAGTATCAAACTACTAAGGCGCCATATTGTTAGCGGGGTTGAGGAAATATATCTCAAATAGAAATTTGGAAAATCACTCTCCAATGCCTATTGTATCTGCTCAGATGCGTATCGAAAAGAACACAATTATGTTTATATGTGCATATAAGTGTGTGTGCGTGTGGGTATATAACTGTGTGCGTGCGTTCCACAAGTGTGGATTTTGATTTTCTCGAATAGTGCGATCATGCATCTTGAACGATTGGCGTTATACAATCTTCCTTATCTATTTCCTTTCATGCTTGTGTCGCACAGAGTTAACATTAACATATCACTGTCGCAATATTAGTTCAGACAGTTTTATTTTTTAGAATATAACATCTCTCTCTCTCTCTCTCTCTCTCTCTCTCTCTCTCTCTCTCTCTCTCTCTCTCTCTCTCTCTCTCTCTCTCTCTCTCTCTCTCTCTCTCTCTCTCTCTCTCTCTCTCTCTCTGTCTCTCTCTCTCTCTCTCTCTCTCTCTCTCTCTCTCTCTCTCTGTCTCTCTCTCTCTCTCTCTCTGTCTCTCTCTCTCTCTCTCTCTCTCTCTCTCTCTCTCTCTCTCTCTCTCTCTCTCTCTCTGTCTCTCTGTCTCTCTCTCTCTCTCTCTCTCTCTCTCTCTCTCTCTCTCTCTCTCTCTCTCTCTCTCTCTCTCTCTCTCTCTCTCTCTCTCTCTCTCTGTCTCTCTCTCTCTCTCTCTCTCTCTCTCTCTCTCTCTCTCTGTCTCTCTCTCTCTCTCTCTCTCTCTCTCTCTCTCTCTCTCTCTCTCTCTCTCTCTCTCTCTCTCTCTCTCTCTCTCTCTCTCTCTCTCTCTCTCTCTCTCTGTCTCTCTCTGTCTCTCTCTCTCTGTCTCTCTCTCTCTCTGTCTCTCTCTCTGTCTCTCTCTCTCTCTCTCTCTCTCTCTCTCTCTCTCTTTAATTTAATACAATAATCTTTGTGCTTCTTTATTTATACAAGAGAGGAGAAACAGACAACTCCTTCTATCTTTCTATGTATATATATATATATATATATATATATATATATATATAGAGAGAGAGAGAGAGAGAGAGAGATAGATATCGCGATAGAGAGAATTAGCTAAAGGAGTGTAAGGAGAAATACATTAAATACTCTCTCTCCTCTCTCCATCTTTCTCTCTGTCTCTCTTTCTCTCTCTCTTTTCTCCCAACGGCCTTCCTCTATTTTTATATGGATGCATAATTGCATGAGAGGGAGAGAGAGGGAAGGAAAGCGAAAGCAGAAAATAGAAATAATGATGAGGAGAATGAGGATAGATAGATAAGAAGAGACGTAGATAGATAGATAGATATAGATAGATAGATAGATAGATAGATAGATCTATCTATCTATCTATCTATCTATCTATCTATCTATCTATCTATCTATCCTGTGTGTAATTTGTCGTTAAAAGACACACTTGGCGAGGATCAGGCAGAATAAAAAACACATTAAAAAACAAAAATAAATAAATAAAACGCCAACAAAAATAATAAATAAAAAATAATACACCCCGCGGAATGACAATAAAAATAATCAAAGTCCTTTTTTTTTATTTACTTAATTTATCTATTTACTTATTTATTCCTAATTCTCTTTTTCTTTTCTTTCTTTTTTCTTTTTTTTATTGCCTATTTATTTGAAACATTTCCTGGGGTTACACAACAAAAACACTGAAAAAAATGATCGACTCCTCCTATTGTATGTTTGATAGAATGGAGAACACAGGGATAATATGAATGTGTCGTCTGCTTCAATAATTCCATTTGATTCTCTTTTTTTTATGATTGTCATCAACATATTTGAGGACACATCGGTCGCATATTTCCTGTTAAAAAAAAAACAAAAACAAAAAAAAAACTCATTGTGATTGATACGCTAATATAAGATACCTCAACAAAGTAAACACAATCTACTGGAAATATTCAAAATAAGAGAAACAAATTCTCATATGCCGAACAAATTTAAGTAAAATAGCCATCCCAACGTTGGATGTGCGGGTAGTGACTCCGAAAGAGGATTCAGAGTACCTGAGTTCGAATTTCGGCCGAGTCTGTTACTGAAACTTTCGCATAATTCGAGACAGTATGGATACATCAAATGCTCCCGGAATCTATGTGTTATATAACAGAGCTAAATCGTCTTTCTTGCATCGAGATGGCAACCGCTATAGAAAAACTCAAATTCAAAACCAGACTAAAGAAAAATAGGCTACCTGAAACTATTTTTCCTTAGACATACCCTTGCGTCTGCAATGACTGTAATATACGTGATACCCTACGAACCTTATGTTCCATAAAAGTACAGAAGTTAACATTAGTACGATGACACAAGTAAGGGGTACCCAATGAGAATCGAACTCTGTAGCAACGGTCTGTGAGACCCTTTTAACATATACATCATTTCTGCATTCAATGATTACTGGTTTATTTATATTTTAGACAGAAAAACTAATTTTTATGAATCAATATCGCTTTAAAAATTTTCAGACATCAACAATGATTTTTCCAGAAAGAATCTCTAGTATTTGATCCATAGCTAGGGAAATTGTTGTAAGGGCATACACTGTGGTAGTTAGAGTAACGTGGATATGAACGATAGATATCTGTTGACCCTAGACTTGAAGAGGTTAAGATTGCAATGAACGGGAAAACATTCTCCCTGGATTTTTCCCACAATGCAACAGTTCTGGTGGAGAGGTCATCTGAGTTAAAATTTCTCCATAAAAATCGAATGTTAAAAGATTGAAGATAGGTAGACTCGGTGTACACAGACAGCTTGCCGATTCCTCGCTGTGCAGTCTGGGACAGGGTGAAGCAAAGAATGTAATTCACCCGAACGAGGAAGAGGGGTTAGGGAATTAATACTTAACACAGCTCCTGAAGATTGCCAGGTGCATTGTCCATGAAACTATATATATATATATATATATATATATATATATATATATATATATATATATATATATATATATAAAGGGGAAATATATATATATACTAGGGGGAAATATTATATATATATACGAGGTGAAAAAAACTTTTTATGTGACGTGTTTCATAATTTAGGAGTTCATCGGCCATAATTTATCATATTTTCTCCAGAAAATTATCCTTGATAAATAAAAATGCATGTATCGTTGTATATATATATATATATATATATATATATATATATAGATAGATAGATAGATAGATAGATAGATAGATAGATAGGTAGAGAGGTTGCTAGATAGATAGATAGATAGGTTGATAGATATATAAAAACAGTGTGGTCATAGAAAATAAACACAACATTGTGATTGTCATTTTCAATATATATATAAGTCTAGAATAAGAAAGACTTCAAATTACAAAACAGTATAAAGAGTGTAGCATTATACGCCATATAAAATAACTACACACACACACACATATATATATATATATATATATGGTAATATTTGCCGTTCTCTTATAAGCCAACATTCGCCATTCATTTACCAGGTAGCAAGCACTGCTATCGGATGTAATTTGTAGAATCATTCTCTTGAAATAATTATTTTAGGAAAATAGCTTTCTCAAGCCCAGTAGTTGTTATTGTT